AACGCCCGCCGCGGCGGACACCTACCTCCGCCAGCACCAGGGCCAGCCAGCAAGCGCCTGTGAGCAGCCACAGCCCGGCGCGCGTCCTCATCGCGGTCTCAGGCACGGCCGCCGGGCGCACAACTCGGCGCGGCTGCGGAGGAGGAGCAGAACCAGCCCGCCTCCTTGGGCCGGGAGAGGAACCACCATCCCTCGGGGAGGGGGAGCCACCGGGGTGCGGGTCCTCCGGCTGGGGCGCGGGGCGGCGGGGGCCTGCGGGGCGCGCGGGGCGCCCCTTCCCTCCCCTCCCCTCCCCGCGGGCACGTCGGAGCGGGCTTGGCGGAGGGGCGCGCCCGGGAGCGCCGGCAGCTCCCCGCTCGCTCTCCCTCTGCGTGTCCCCCGCCCGCCCCCCAAAAGCGCAGGGGGAAAGGGGGACTCCGGGGGCGCCTCGCAGCCAGCCGGCCGCGCGCGTCGCTCCTCTCCGGCTGCGCGCCTTCCTCCGGCGTTCGCGGGACTAGACCAGCCGGTAGAGCTGCATATTTGCTTAGATCACCGCGAAGTGAAACCCTAGGAGCTGCCAGCGAGCGTCGAAACGCCCATCACCTGTCTGGAAGCAGCTCGCCCCCTTCCAGACATGCGGACTGTTAGCAGTCCCTCCTCTCTCTCTCGCTCGCCCGCTCGCCCGCTCGCTCTCTCCTCCCCCCGCTTCTTTTTCTAGATATCCACCCACCCCGGAGCCTAGCAGAGAAAAAAAAAAAAAAAACGGGGGGGGGGGAGGAAAAAGGAAAGGGGGGGCAGAAAAGATCGCTACTTCATCTTTTGCGAGCACCGCGGTACTCACCCCTTTGCTAACAGCACTGGAGTGAACGGTACATTTCATGGGGAACCAGAGGGCGGCGGGAAGGGGGGGCGCGGGCTCAGGGGTGCCTCCGTGGGGCAGCCTTCCTCGGAGATCGTGTGTGGGGCGGGGGCAGAGGGGGGCTGCCGCTGGCTGCTTTTGCAGGCCAAGTCCCCATTCGTGTGCCGACTGCTTATGCTCAACGCGACCCTGGATATTCCTGTGCAAAACCGAGCCTGCTGAGAGCGGTGCTGTGGGCGCCGGGATTAACGCGAATAAATAATGCCCGACGCGGGGGTTCGGCGAAGGGGAGGGAGGGCGGGCGGCCGGGGCGGCTCGGAGGGGGAAGCGGGGCGCGGGGGCCCCGCCGCGCAGACTCTCGCCCTCGGGAAGGGGGTCGCGGCGCGGCCCCGGGGCGGGCGCGCAGGGCGGCGAGGAGGCGCGCCACGAGGCGGGGCGGCGCCCCCTCCCTCCGCCCCGCCCGCTCGGGCGCCGTCCGACTCCTCCCCGCCCGCCCGCTCGCTCGCTCGCGGCGCCCTGATCCGCTCCCAGCAGGCGGCCCCGGAGCCAGCGAGCACCCGTGCGGGGCTCCGGCCCTCCGGCCCGCCGCCTGCGGGAGACGCGAGTCCAGGGCGCCGCGCCGACGCGCGCAGCAACACACCCGGCGGGGCGGGCGGGGCGGGGGGGCTGGGGCGAGCGAGCCCGCGGGGGGGGCACGCGGGAGCGGCCCCCGCGCGGCTTGACGTGGGACCTGCCTCCAGGGGCCTGCTCGCCCCGGCCCCCGCGTGCCCCCCGGCCGTGCCCCGCCACTCGCCCCGGGCTTCCCTGCGGCAGCGCCAGGCGAGGAGGCTCTGCGCAGGTCGCCCACCGCCCTCCACCACGTTGCAGCCTCCAAGGATCCAGCCTGTACTTTTTGCAAGGCGGAGGGGATCGCCATGATGAAGCGGCGGCGGCGGCGCGCCCCCGCCCCCACGGTAGGAGGGCTGACTTGCAGAAATCTCCGCATTTTGTAGCCGCCCGTGCACCGGCATTGCTCTTACCGCCGCTTTGCGCGACGACCGCGCCTCCCTCCCTGCCTCCTGCCCTCCCTCGCTCCTGCAGCTTCTGCAGCAATCCTTTTCATCCTCACAACGACGACCCTGTGAGGTAGGTCGGGCTGAGCATCCGCGACTGGCCCATAGTCACCCCAGGAGCTCCATGGCTGAGACCAGAAGCAGGATCTCCCGGTCTAACACACTGACCGCTCCACCACACTGGTTCCTCATCCTGCCTCTCAGGATCATTCATTTATTCATTATATTTATATCCCTCTGTTTTTCCTTCCAAGGAAAAGATGGCTCACATAACTCTCCTCTCAGTCCTATCCTCACAACCACCCTGTGAGGTAGGTTGGGCTGAAAGTCAGTAAACCTGTCTAAAACTGCACCGTGAGAGCACGTTGAAACACACGCACCTGGTATGAAAGGCTTCCAGGCCTTAGGTTGGTATGTTCAAAACTAAGGAATTAAACTACACTGCATTTATCACCCATTTGCTTTTCTCTTGTGAGGAGGCCAAAGTGGCTGACGTATATTTTTATGTATCTTGAAAAGGACGCCTGATGTGAGACTGCTTTGAATATATCCTTGCGGGGCAATCCTAAATTGGCCTATTGAATGGGCTTAGGGTAACAGCCTAAAAGGGCCTGTCTGATCAACTTTATAGTTTGCCTCCGTGCATCGCAATGAGAATTGTGTATCTGCTCTTGCAAACGGCATGCTTTTTTAGTTTTGTTCCACTACCAGTGAGGAAGAAGCTAGACAGTTATCTAAACGGGATGGTCTAACAGGATGTCCTGCAGCGGCAGGGGCCTGGACTCAATTCCCTTTTTGGCCCCTTCCCACCCTACTGTTCAATCATTCTTTCCTGCATGGGGGCATCCACGGACCTACATCTCTTCTCCATGTTTATCTTCACAACAACCCTGTGAGGTAGATCAGGCTGAGAGTCAGTGCCTGGCCCAGAGTCGCCCTGGGAGTTGATGGCCCCGGCCTCCTGAGCCATAGGAGCATCTGAAGAGACATGCTGAATCAGGCCAAACCCAGCAGCCAGCCAACTGCCTGCAACAAACCCACAAGGAGGACACGACCGCAACAGCTTCCTCTCACCATGTTCCCCAGCAGCAGGTGCCCATGGCGATTCCTCCCCTGAATGCAAACTGCTCACTTCGGATTTCAAAAGAGATGCTCAGGGCAGCTAACACCCTTTCCAGCACAGCTCCTCAGAAGCACCGCCCAGCTCTTTCCAGCAGTGCTGGCACCAGCTTTGCGCTCCTCTTCCTATCACCGCCTTTTCCTAACTGTTCTGCCTTCACTTGGCCACCCACCATGCACCTCGAAGTGCCATGAATGCCGCTCTTCCGACACCCACACCCCCAACCCCAGTCTAAAGCATATATTCCACCTTTCCTCCAAAGTGCTCTGTATGGGCATCCAAGGCTCTTCCCTGGCCCATCCTCACGACAACTCTGCCAAGTAGGTTAGGCCGAGAGATCGATTACTGCCCTGCAGTCTTCCGGCAAACTGGGTTCCTGGGTTCCTCCAACCCTAGAGTTTCTGGAAGTGCACAGTCCCTTCAGTCAAGCCTGGGAAGGCAAGAGAATTCCCCAACCTGACATTCTGCTTCAAGAATAGCTTTCGCACCAGTGCCAGCTACAATGGACACGCCCAGCTCCTAAAAATAAACAACCCATGCTTGTTTCTCTGCAGACGCACATTAGACGCATCCAACCCACCAACCTAAACTCATCTGATTGTTGCTCAAGCCACCTCCGAGTTATGGGGACCAAAGCATGAACACCCTCCAGAATGTCCTATCCATGACAGCCCTGCTCAGCTCTTCCAAGTTCAAGGCTGTGGCTTCCTTGACGGAGTCCATCCATCTCTTGTTTGAACTCCTCCTCCTCCTCCTGCCTTTGACTTTCCCTAGTGTGGTGGTCTTCTCCAGGGAATCTTGCCTTCTCATGGTGTCCCAACGTACCACAGCCCCAGCTTTTGCTTCTAAGGAAACTCTGCCTCGATTTGATCAAGGGGCCCACTGGTTCCTCCTGCCAACCCAGAGCATTAGCAAAGCTATCCGCCAGCACCATGTTCCAAATGCATCGATTTGCACCAAAATGCATCTGATTAGCTGATGAGAATGTCTTGCATCTGGCTGACCGGAATTTGCAGGGGAAAACTTGCTTTGCAGCCCTTGTGGGAAGACTTCTTGCTGGAGTGGCTAGAGCTACTTGGGTTTATGTCTGACTGCGTGTTTGGGGCATACACAGGGAGGAGCTCAAAGTCAACACCGGAACCGTTGGGTACATATTAAATCCACTTCTGTTTGTTCAGCCCCTCCTTGGCCTTCTGGAAGTGGCAAACCCAGCTGGAGTTTACACAGCAGTCTCATTGCCCCAGTCCAATGGACTTCTACACTAACCTGTTAAAGATTAATTTTTGGGTACTTTCTCCAGAGTCGGAGGTGTTTTCCATTCTTCCTTTCCGTTCAGGAATGAGATACATTTAACCATCCCAGTGCGTTACACACAAGCGCCAACTCATACATTACCATCATGGGGATATACCTTCCAACATTTTCCTAGACAAAAATAGATACACTAAAAAAAACCCCTCTGGTAAGGCTGTTACCTCGTTAAAGAAAACTTGCTCGGTTTGATCACATGAGTTTTGCTTGATTTCAGCTGCATCAAGTTGTATTGCAGCTGTTGCAGCTTAGCCAGCCTCCCCCGGTCTGTCCCTCTTCTGTGCAGAAATGAGGCATTTGGAAAGTGGCAAACGGAAAGCATCAGTTTGGCCATGGATATGGGGAGGTTTTTAATGCATGATTTTAATGTGTGATTTTAATGCGCGATTTTAATGCATGATCGGGCTTTCAATCTGCATACATTTAGAGGAAGAACATACTTTTTATCGTTTAGGTGATCCAATGGATCCACCCAATCAACGGACTAACAGCTGCTCACTGGATCTTGGGTGGAAGAGGAAGCATGTGGCTTTCATAGGGGCCGGAGCCTTGTCTTCAGATTATGCTTCTCTTCTCACCAAGGAAATATACACATCGCTAGGGACATTTGGATTCCTCCAGGCCTTGTGTCGTTGGCCAGAGTACAGCATCCTCTGGGCAGAATCAATAATACCAACAACGATAATAAATAAAATGTCCCAAGGCTTAATCTGCAAGGCAGGCGGGAGGATAGCTCCAGGGTTTGCATGCCTCCAGGTCAGGCGTCAGAGATTATTCACCCGTCAGGCAAATGTGCTCGGGGCAATCCAGAGAGAGCAGCAAGGGCTGAGCCAGCAGGAATTCCACTCAACACCTCCCGCTCCC